AGAGAGGTGGAGAAAGACGGGCAGAAAGTAAGAGAGAGAGAGAGAGAGATAGATAGATAGATAGATAGATAGATAGATAGAGGGAGAGAGAGAGAGAGAAAAAACACAGACAGGAAGAAAGAAACAAAGAAATAACTAAAGAAAGAAAGGAGGAAGAAAGAACGAACAACAAGTAATAAAAGAAAGAAAGAAAGAACAGTAATAAAGAAAAGAAAGAAAGAAAAGAAAAGAAAGAAAGACAGATAGAAAGAAAGACACATACAGAAAGAGCAATAAAGGAAGCAAAAGGAAGAAAGACAGACATGAAGAAAGAAAACGAAGGAAAAAGAAAGAAATACATACACACACACACACATATATATATATATACATGTATATATACATATGTAGAAAGAAACAGGAAAATAACAAAAATACAGACAAACAGACAAGAAAAATGACAGAACGACAGAAAGAAAGACACATGCAAGACAGACAGCGACGAAAGGACGAAAAGAGGAAGAGAGAGAGAGGGTGTGCCAAGACAAGCATGGGTGTCCCCAAGATCGAAAGAAGAGGTTGAACCCGCAGCACCTTTTTCAGTGAACCCAGTATCGTGCATCCAGAGTTTGAAGCCCAGATTGTCAGATTGGCTCAGTGTGCTCTGATGACAGGTGAGCCTGAGCCTATGCAGGTGTGGCTGCTGGATGGCACCGACAAGGAAGTGAATGAGTAGATAAAGTCGCATGCTTGCAAGGATGTCAAGGGTGAAAAGGGCAATATCTACAGCTGCTATGGTTTATCCGTACACATGCAATGTTGCAGTCGGGTGTGGTTTCTGGCCACTAGCAGGACTGCAGGTGAGCGGATCCACCTGCAGTGCCGGACCTCACCGGCCCGGGGAACGTGGTGCCACGAGGCGGCTTTCTGGGCCTGGACCGTGAGGTGAACGCATGCGGCGTTTCGCCTTCGCCGAGAATTTTTTTAGTTGTCTATTTTTGAAGGAGTTGGGTTGGTTTTCAAGAGCAACCTACAGCAACATACACAAAGCTTTTGCATGACTTTACATGATTTTAAGGACAGTTCAGGTACGAACAGTGGGGGTGGAGTGGAGGTGGCCCTTCACATACACAGTGGACAACGTGAACTTTGGCGCTTCGAAGCTAATTGCAGCCGAGAGCTCCATTTGCCAAACAAAGTAGGATCATCCACATGCACAGCCACATGGATCACAAGATGTATAAAGTCTTTTGGACACTCCTGAGATTTTTCCATCCCGTTGCAAAGTAAGAGCGAACGATAAGACACATGGAGTCCGATTGATTCGCGGAGTCACCTCTGAATTTGTTTTAGAGTTGTCGTTTGGCTGATGGTTCTTGCCTTGAACCTGCTGCAGCCCTAGGATCATGTCCCGAAAGGAGTGAAACTCCTTCCCATGCGGAAGCTATGGATATTGGTCGCAACTGGGCAACTCCTGGGTTCAACTGCATCCACAACTACTCAAGCTGCTCATGATGATACTACTGCAGCTGCTCATCATGAGACTACTCTAGCTGCTCATGATGCAGAGACTTGGTGCATCAAGGCCGCTTTTTGGGGGCAATCAACCTAACATACACACCACTTACAGCACATAAACCAAGCATACAGTACACCAAGAGCGCTACCCAGGATGGCAGTACATGTGGATCTTACCAGGAAATCCGGGCGGACAGGCCCTTTGCTGGTTTTCTTATTTTCTCAAGCATCCTTTGCCAGAGTTCAAGTAGTGAGTCTGATGCGATCAGACTCCTACCTTGATTATATCATTGATTATTGCAGCTCTCAAATAGCAAGCCATTTCCCATGTCCTAACGAAGTCATTTTTTAAAGACCTGAGAAGGACCAACAAACTTCGTTAGGCCAGTTACAAGCCAAACCCCAAATGTGCAACTACATCCCGTGCACCGGCAACTCAACTTCTTGTGATCGATCAAATGTGCGATAGAATTCACTGCGAGCCGGATGAGGAGTCGCTGGGAGAGCATGTGCATCCACATGCAGTGCTGTTGTCACCTGGCTTTGGAAGTGCTTTGATCAAACAGAATCACACATGATCATCATGATCGTGCATTTTTGATGCCACAGCTCCATTTGCTGGCATATGCAGTTTTGGTTCATATACAATAAGTATATTTCATTCCTGAGGTTTCCCGTGCTGTCAATGCTTATAGGCCGGGATGGCTTAGTACCTAACAACTAGAGAATCCATTGGCATGATGGAGTCGGCATCCATTTGGACGGACCTGAGACGGACTATAGAGACGGTGAACAGTTCTGACTAAAAGCCATCGCTCGAAACCAACAAATGACTTTGGTGCTCTGGTGCTGTTTCTATTTTTTTTTTGTGGCATGTTTTTGGAACACCGTTTTTTTTGTGGAGGTTTGACGATTACCCACGTCACTTCGCGGTTCCGATGGCTGCGCACCATCCCCTACACGGTCTCCTTGCTGCTGCTCGTCATGTACTTCAAGCCGCTTCGCGCTTTGAGATAGCAAGGTGGATGATATGCAGGCTGTTTGCCAGCTTAACTCATGAAAACACCAGGCGGATGATCGCATGGTACGTACGCCGTACGGTGTGCCGTTCTCTCTTGGCCGTTCTCTCTTGCAAAAGCTGTCGCTTCTGACCAAGGCTCGTGGGTGTTTGCCTCGGATTTCTGGACGTCAAGACCTCGGGCGGTCTCGGAACGCTGTCGCAGAGCCTGAGCCTCTGGGTGACCATCGAGCCGCGGCGGGCACTTAGAAGGCCAAAAACCCTGGAGTGAAAAACCGGAGGAACGCACATGTGATTCCATGACAAAGTTTTTAGGCAAGCGAGTTAATTACATGACCCATCTAAATTAAATGAAGTGGGCGAATGCATATATAGGTGCTAGGAGGGATCTAGGACAGCCCTTTGAAATCAATGCGGTACCAAGTGTTGCCTTCAGCAACTCTTGAAAATGTCTCTGGATATCTCGGATTCAGGACCCCCATCTACTTCTCTATGCGTTTCTGCCCGTGCTGCTTTTTGGGGATGCGATGTCAATCGTGCCTTGGCAACCTGGGCCCGCGCCTTGGTCGGGAAATGCTTTGGGGTCCCGACCTGCAGCTAAGGTTTGGCATGATTTTCGGCAAACAGCAGCTCAATGCTTGGTCTTAGCAGGACACATGCAACCAGAATGCAGGGGATGCATCTATGGAATTTTGAGCATCATTTATCCAGGTTGGTATGATACTCTTCTCAGGACCTGGCGTCCTCATTGGAACCTCCCTCATCTATTTGGTTGCAAAGTATGTGTTTCCGTATGGAATCTTGGTAGCATCTTGCATGTCAGAGCACGGAGCCTCCGTTGGCTTTTCAAATTCCTTCTTGCCAAGAATTTGGCACTGCAAGGACTTCCCATGCCATTCTCAACCAAGGATGGGACCACTTCGAATGCGCAGCCTTTGGCAGTATTTTGGCTGCGACGGACCCTGTGGCCGTGGTGGGGCTCTTGAAGGCGGGCGACCTCGCCCGGACCAACGGACCAAGGCGGTCGGGTCAACCCACCCAATTTGGATGGGTCCATTCCAAGGACCCACAGCCTACATGTTGGAGGGCCCGGGCGGCCGATGATTGACGGCCCGGCCGATCACCCAGCTGGGCCGTGCTCGCCCGAGCGAATCCATGGACCAACGTCACAGCATGGCACCGGTCTTCGAATCACCCCAAACAGGTGGTTCTTCACTGCGCAAGAAGGTGCATCAGGTCACAAGGAGGGTCAGGCTGCCCAGGCTGTCCTGCTACCCGGTCTTTGGAGTCCTCAGCCTTGTCAGGAGATGGGAGCAAGCAGGGTGCTGACCATGCAGATTGCAGGCGAGTCCCTTCTCAATGCTCCTCGGCACGGACATGTTTGCGTTAAACAAAAGGATCCCTTTCCGAAGTCCTCGTGGCCACTGAGGACGGGACGGCGATCGTCGTGTGGTTGGTGTTCTACAACTTGATGAAAGGAGAGGGCGGGGGAAGAAGAGTAGAGTGTACATGGGCACATGACTCTGGACTGGAAGACAGGATCCGATAATATGAGGTACATACTTTGCATGCTGTCTTCACCCCTATGCCACAGTTTTAGCTTACTTTCCATGCAACACAAGGAGTGAGAGTGGCAATAAGTGAAGGGATGGATCCCCTTTTGTGTTGGATTATGAGCACCGGGTGCCCTTTTTTTTGATCCCACCCGCCGCTGAGGAGAAGAAGCAAATGCAGAGATCGTAGTAAGCTTCATTCGCCTGGCCCTGGGCGGCGTCGTTTTTGGAGCCGCCTGTGGGCTCATTGGGGCAAGTGTCTAGCAACCAATTGGACGGTGGCAGGATGCAAGTGGCACTCCTGCCACCCAGTGTTACAAACAGAACGTAACATGGTTGGTCATGAAGAGCATGTTGTCAACGACCTGTTACTTCACTTCTTTTCAGCTGCCCTTGTAATCCCAGTAAAT